AGCGTCTGAGTGTAAAAGCTCATGCGAAAAGCATCAGTGTGTAAAAGCGTTTGCGTATGAAAGCTTCTGTGTAAAAGTTGCTATGCCGCGGAAAACCTTCTGTGTGTAAAAAGCTGCCCTTGTAAAGGCTCCTCTGTGTAATCGCTTCTGTGTGTAATCGCTTCTGTGTGTACAAGTTCCCGTGTGTAATTTTGGAGCTTAGTGTAGCGCGCTCTAGGTTTTGACTTTGACGGGGGTTTCCTTAGTTTTGGCCTAAGGTAGTAGGCCAGGGCCATGGTCCGAGCTGCGCTTGGGATTGTGTACCGCCTCTGCAACGGCAAATGGGTGGAGCCTGTTGATCTAACCACACAGAATCTACGGGTCCTCGCGCTGATGTTCCCCCAAGGGGCCGAGGCGGGCCATCCGGATCCCGGGACCACTCAAGAGAGCGGGGACTCTTCCAGCTAGTGGAGCGTAGCCTGGAGCAGAGCTTATAACTATGTCGGGGCGGACTGGTGGCTGAGCACGGGGATCAAAGTGTTGTTACAAGTAGCTGAAAACTTCCTAGCCGCCAAGTGGAGCTATTGGCTTCTGACTGGGCCGGTCCTTGTTTTCCTGCTGCAGGTGTTGGTGTGGACCTACACTGGGGGTTATCCGCCCCGCTCTGATCCACCCCGGGGCCCTCTGGCGTTATTGCCAAGGGACAGGCACCTGGAGTGTGCGTCACCCGCCTTCAAGGCCATCGACCCTTCATCCCTGCGTGTGTGTACAATTTGTTCTGTGCAAAAGCGTCTTGGCGTAAAAGAGTCGGTATGTAAACGCATCTGTGTGTGAAAGTTTCTCTGCGTAAAATTAAAAATATATATGTGTGCGTGTGTGTAGAAAATCAAAAGTTTCGGCGAATCAAAATTTCTATGTGTACAAGTGTCTGTGTGTAAAAACTGCTGTGGGTAAAAAAAATCTCTGTGCAAAACCCTCTTGGTGTAAAAGAAAATCTCTCTGCAAGACGTTTGTGTAAAAAAACATGTTTGTAAAAGTTTTGTGTTAAAATAGTTGGGTGTGCAAAAGCTGCTCTGTCTGTGCGAAAGTTTCTCTGCGTAATGGTTGCTCTGTGTTTTCTTTGTTTAAAAGCTGCTCTGTGTAACGGTTTCTCCTTGTAAATGTTTCTCTGTGTCAAAACTGCTCGGTGTGAAGGTTTCTCTCTCTGCAAGAGTTTCTGTGTAAAAGTTGTTCGTCTGTTCCAACAGGTTCTGTTGTGTATAAATTTCTCTCTGTAACGGTTTCTTTGTGTAACCGCTTGTCTGTTCCAAAGCGTCTGTGTGTAAAAGTTGTTCCGTGTAACGGTTTCTCTGTGTAAAAGTTCCTACGTGTAAAAATTGTTGTAAAAATTGTTCTTTGTACAGGTTTCTCCGTTTGAAAGTTTCTGTGTGTAAAATTCGTTTGTGTGCAAAACATTATCTGTGTAGCGGTTTGTCTTTGCAAAACCATCTGCGACATCTGTGTGTCAAAGTTTCTGTGTATGAAGGCGTCTGGCTGTGACAGCATAGACAGATGGTTAAGCCAAAATATCAAATCCCTCTAGAGTCCATTGACATTGATGTTCTCACCACCGTCAGTGTCCAGCTTTGGAGCAAACCTCTTGTTCGAAGGAACACATATTAAACTGTGAATGCATGATTCATCATTCATCATTCATCAGTCATCATTCATTATGTGATGTTATTCATCATCATCACCATCACCATCACCATCACCATCATTCATGTTCATTCATCAAAACATCGACCGAGAGATCCCCTTGTATTGGCAAGGATTGCACTATGAACAAAACCAATCAGCAAGCTTCGTTCTTGCCCCGTTAGGCCCTCTCCAATACGAGTGGCTACCCTCCCGACTTTTCACAAACAACAACCCCACAAGTGAAACCTGTATTTCAAAAAAAATCTGCACCAGGACCTGTTTCCCTGGAGACTATGTCATTTTCCGATACTTGTTGCGAAGATGACAAAAATAGCGCCCTAAATTCTCCCATGCCTTGTTCCCACTTTTTCTCATCCCAATGATTCTTTTTGTTTCCCTTAGATGGTAGTTTTCATCACCTACCTTCTGTTTGATCTAATCGTGTTTTTTAGTTTTTGGCCATTGAAACCTTATGCAGAAGATCAAACAGACATGGAAACGTCGCACTGTTTGGGGTCTCTTGGAACTCAACTCTATGACCATATGTCTGTTTGTTTCCCGTTCAGCACACCCGTAAAGGGACTTAAGAGATTTGGTGCCTTCTCCTTCAAGACAAACGTGTTTTGGCGTTGATGTGATACTGCCATTGAAGCTGCGGAAAATTCAAGCGTGCCCTTTACGTCGTTCTGTCATTCAATTACTTATTTGTTCAGTTGTGCTTTGTATATGTCATTTGTGAACAAATTGATGAACGCCAACATGATTTTTTGGCGTTTGCTCTAGTGCCAAAAGGCAGGCCCAGGGCAGGCTGTAGCCATAAATGATTTGGCTGGAAATTGAAAACTCCAATGCCGTAGGTCGCCGCAGTTCGACGTGCACATGAAGTTGAAATGGGCGAACTCCGGGCTGTTTCCAAGGCAGATAATTAATTCATTTGGTTTGCATCTAAACCCGGATGGCAATGACTTGACGAGCAAAGGTAGGTGAAGAGTACTGCCGGTTTGGAATGTTTGAATCACGGTGAGCACTTTGGAGCGTAAAGGATTTGGTGCGAGGCTGTTTTGGAGAAGGCTGAGTCTTACAACCTTTCCTTGGAAGGATTGATCTTCGAGCACGGTTGCCAGACAGCATTTACATCGAACGTGTTGGAACCATTTGCATGGGAAACAAGATGCAGCCCACGAACCCGAACGCAGTGACGTAGAACACTTTTGTGAAACAAGTTAATTGAACAGTCTACATTTTCCCCTGTTAACCTACCAGTGCACTGCAGACTGTGGAATGCGGAAGAGGGTGGAGTGCAAAGTAAGGTGTGTGGAGAGTAGAGTGTAAAGTGTAGAGTGTAGAGTGTAAAGTGTGGAATGTAAAGTGTAGTAGAGTGTTGAATGTGAAGTGTAAAGTGTAGAGTGTGGAGTGTGGAGTGTAAAGTGTAGAGTGTGGAGTATGGAGTTTAAAGTAAGGAGTGTGGAGTGTAAAATATAGAGTGTGGAGTGTAGAGTAAGAAGTGTGGAGTGTGGAGTGTAAAGTAAGGAGTGTGGAGTGTAGAGTTTGGAGTGTGGAGTGTAGAGTGTGGAGTGTAAAGTGTAGAGTGTGTATAGTGTAGAGGTGTAAATTGTAAAGTGTAAATTGTAAAGTGGGGGGTGTAAAGTGTGGAGTGTGGAGTGTAAAGTGTAAAGTGTGGAGTGTGGAGTGTAGAGTGTGGAGTGTGGAGAGTAGAGTGTAGAGTGTGGAAAGTAAAGTGTAGAGTGTAGAGTGTGTAAAGTGTGGAGGGTGCAACGTGTAGAGTGTAAAGTGTGGAATGCAAAGTGTGGAGTGTAAAGTGTAAAGTGTGGAGTGTGGAGTGTGTAGCGTAGAGCGTAGAGTGTAGAGTGTGGAGTGTGGAGTGTAAAGTGTGGAGTGTGGAGTTTGGAGTGTAAGTGTGAAGTGTGGAGTCTTGGCTCGAACCCCCTCCGCGCGGGTAGACGGGACAGCTCTGAGAGTTCGAGGAGTTTCTTTTTGGTCCACCCCTGGTGACCCGACTGGACTTCCTTCAGGTTCTGTTCCCCCTCGTGCCCCGTGGTGTTGTTGGGTCCTGTGTCCCTGGTTGCTGTTCCGTCTGGCTTTGTGCCTGTTGTCTTTTTGCGGCTGACGAAAGGCCGGGACTGTCTTTCCTTGTTGAGTATGCCAGAGCCTCGAGGCTATTGAGTGGCTTGTGCTCCCTCGGATGTGTTCGGGCCCGACGTGAGGCTATGACACATCCATTTGACAGTGAATTCCGTGCGAATATGTTGGCAAGCCCTGCGGTCAGGTCCTTTTTGGATTTCGTCAATGAATTCTCCGCAAATGAGCTTCCAATTGTTTTTGAAATCATCAGGCAGCACCTGTTCCCTGATTCCCCGGCTCGTTGCCTTTTTCGTGCAGCTCAATTGGACCCAAGACCAAATCCAGCCGTTGCATTACGAGCAGCTTCGACTGATCTGCGTGAGCTTGAACAAACTCTTGGTCCAACCCTGCCAGGCTTTGATGTTTTCAGTCCACCACCCATTGTACCAGGTGCAATCGACGTTGAAGCCTTGTTGGAAACGACTATTGCCTTGCCGACTCCCACGGTCCCAATCCTCCCTAGCGGGTCTCAGGAATTTTCGTCCCAGCTGCGTTCAGTGTTCCATTCCTGGATCCGGAAGTCACTTTTGTTGCGCCTGTCCCCCCACACAAGGTTGCTGTCTATGTTTACTTTCGTGATGAACACGTCAAGACCAAGATTGCGACCTTCCGTCAGGACACAACAGGATTAGATCTCCTGGAAATGGCATGGAAATCTGTTGCTAAGAAAGCTAAGGCGACTGACACATTGTTTCACACTGGGTGCTCTTTTTGCCAGGACGAAGAACTAGGTTGAATCACAATGTATCCTTGACAGCCCTCTTGCGTGAAGGTGAAGCTGCACTTGAAGCCAACTTCGGCAACCATGATCACAAGGATGCGGCACAATTTCACGCAATTGATGGACTTGTGCGTGCGGTACCGAAACACCATGAGAAAAAGCCTGCTTATGGACTTCATGTAGGTCCTGCAGATGATTCAGGTACCAAACATGATGCGGATGATGAACATGTACCTGAATTGCCATCAAAGTATAGGTTTATGCGTCCGACCACTCCTGAACGTAGGAACCCCCCTGTTGAAGTTCCCAAAGGAGCCAAAAAGAGAAGGCATGGTTGGGACCCCGACATGGCCCCATCAAACAATGCTGCCGTCTCAGCAGGTCAGAGATATGCCTTGTCCTTCACCCCACCGCCGAGTTTTGACAGGTCAAAAATCATGTCCCAATTGATTCGGATGTTGAATGTGATTCAAGGCAGGTTACCTCCTACCTTGGAGGCTTTGGATTTTATCATCCTCCATGGTTCTGATGACCCTCGGTTTTTTGGTAACGTGACTGACTTTGGCATTGTCTTGGCCCGTTTTAGTCGCGGATCCAAGTTGTCCTTGCTCAGTTACGGTAGCTTCTGGTACCTTCAGATCGATGACATGGATATTGGTGACAAGCAAGCCACTGTGTTCTTGAAGGTCATTCTCCTTTCTGATGAAACCGAACCCAAGGACAGAATTGGGAAAAAGGACTGTGAAGATGACAAGGAAAATCCTGGGAAGGGTGACAGAAGCCGTAGTCCACCGCCTCGAGGGAAGCCAGTTTCCAAAGCTGTCAGGCCGGTGTTCCAACCATCAGGATCTGGTCCCAGTTCTAGTTTGTCTAAGGACAGTGCAACGCCAGCTATTGATTGCACAGATGATTTCCTTGGTTCCCCTGTTGACATTGGCGTTCAGGACCAGTGCACCATCACACCGGTTCTACCAGTTCAGGTCCCTTACCATTGACCCCCCAATCTGTGACTTTTGATCAGGTGTTCCCTCTTGGGCGTCAGGTGTTCCTTGGACTCTCAGAGCATACCCATGAGCCATGGCACTCGCGCGAGAGGTCTGCTGATGCAGCTGATGCCCATCAGCCTTTCTCTTGCCGAGATGCTCCGAACGGTGGCTCCCTGTCTGAGACAAACGGGGAAAAAACATTGAATCTGGAGTCGAAGGGATACCAAACTGGTGGCTATGTTGGCTCTGAGGACAAAACACATGACAGCAAGGCTGCTACAGGTGAGACGATCTGCCGTGGCAGTGATTCTACTAGTCTTTTTCGATCGTCAAGTGACGGAGTCGACGATCAGACAACTCACTGTGATCCTACGGTTGTAGACACTCCTACCTCGATGAACTGCCCCAGTCCGACACAAAAGATCGAGATGAGCGTCGACATGAGTTCATTACCTCCGGCACAAGATGATCCAATGTTCTCATCATTAGAGGTGAGCTCACAAGTCAATGTTGCAAGCGGAGTCGTCACCGGTGGTGATTATCAAATTCCAAAGGAAGACATTGGTGACAATTTTACTGTGACGCCAACCTGGCCATGGACGCAGTTACCCAATGAAGACCCGACCACAAGTGGGCCTCATGATTTGCCACCCTATGAACTACCAGCTCGTCTTTTCCCTGGACAAGATGATCTGAGTGTGAGTCCGGCCAAACTTGTTTCTCTGTACAGAAATCACTCTCTTTGTGAGCTTGGCAGCTTTAACGGAGTGACGCTTGTACATAAGGGCAATAAGACCCGGATTCAAGTGCAGGCACCCGCACACCTGACCCTCGTCATCGCTCGAGCGTACATGTTGCAGGGTAGTTGCTGTCCAGGGTGTTTTGAAGTCTGTCAGGGATGGGAATGTCAGGCCTGCAACTCCCTCACTACGCAGTTTCGTTTGCCCCCGACCCCTGATTTTGTTTTTCGAAATCCAGCAGATGAGATCTTTGAATATCTTTGATAGATACCGGTCACACTCAAGACATGCACTTCAGTTCACAGGTCCTGTCACCATACACTTCCGTATCCGTGAATTGACTTGCTCAGGAGTGCTCGAGGCCATCACCACTGAAGGCAGGCTGGTGTGGGTACTGTATCATTCCTGGTACGATAATGTTCTTTCCCCTGTTGTTGGAGGTGAATATTGTCTGTTTCAAGGTTTCTGTTGTGGTTCCGTCGGTAACACCCCCATTTTCTTTGTCCCTGTTCCATCTTGGAACGCCGTTTTAGTTAAGAGGCCTTCTTGGGATTCGGTGCCACGAACGCTTGAAATGTTTGCAGGTATTGGAGGATGGGGACAGGCCATCAAAGCCCTTGCCAATCAGGATCACCCGATTTTCTCGGTTGAACTTGACCCCACTATCGCCACCGCACTGTCGCTGTCCACGAAACGTGTTTTTCTTTCGGTTGAACAACTCCTTGATGAACCCCATTGTGAAGACGCGGTTTTGGTAGCTGATGTGTTGGATTCCAGATGGTGGGTCACCACATTATCCGCGCCGTTCACTGATTTGGGTTGGTCCACCCCATGTCAGCCCTGGTCGCAGGCCGGCAAAGGTCAGGGACTCAACCACCCCTTCGGTAGGTTGCTTGTCCACTCCATTGGTATCATGTTTCTTTTTGGTATCCCTGTCGCTGCCATGGAAAACGTCCCCGGTTTGGTTGAACACCCACATTGGAAATGGATTCATTCCCTTCTTCGGGAGCTCCCTACCCCTTGTGAGGTCACGCAATCGGACTTGGCAAATATTGGCTACATGTCCAGAAGTCGATGCTTCCTATTGTGCGGTGCCGATCGAAATGAGAAATGTGTGAAAGACTTCCAATCGCAAAGCAGACCAGATTGGATTCAGGCAAACTGCAGGATCACTGATCAAATTGCGCTGGAACAGACAACTATTCCCGAACAGGTCCGAGAGACGTTGTCTAAGAGAAACTTGCTGCCTGATCAAATCAAACACGAGGCGCTGATGCGGGGTGTTCAGGATGGACGTGCAGTCCTTGAGCTCAGAATTGCTCCTGCAGGTACCCTTCCAACATTGGTTGCCTCCTATCGGAAGCAGGCTCAACTCTCCAGATTGAGGTCACCGCCCTGAAGAGACTCATTGATTGGTGGTTGTTCGGTCAGGTGCCACTGTCACACACGACGCGGCTTCTCATCGGTGGACACTTGACCCTGGTCGATGCTAGAATTTCGAGATCTCGAGTGAGTACCACTCACAAGTTTTCCTATGTCCTGGTTCAGGCCCTTCTGTTCCCCTTCCCGGGCGATGAGGAATTTGTCATTGACAAACAGAGTTTGGCCTTTTTTGACCACAGCCCGCGCCGATGGGACCGTTGAAATTGCGCGCATCCTCCATGAAGAGGCGTCCGTCCTCTGCGTCAGGTTGCGCAATGTCCAAATTGCTTTGATCCAGAAGGAAATTCGTTTGCTCGTCCAATGGCCGTCACTCCACTCACTGTCAGGTTTGAAACCCCTGTGTGAGCCTTCCTTTGACTGTCCATTTGAGCTTCCACTTTGGACCTGGTGCGAAGGCAAATGCATCAGACTGGAGCTGAATTCTGCTTTGCCATCGGGTTTTCTTGCGGCAGAGGTGTTGTTCACCTCTTCAGGCGAGATCAGATCGTGGAAATACAGGAGAGGTATTCCCATTGGACAAGCAATTCAAGAAGTGTTTCCCTTTGACACCATCAAGCCGCCTTTCGTCACGGCGTCCCACAATGATGAGCAGGTTGACACCCAGTCACACCCCTTGCTTGGGCGATCATATCACGTTGAGTTGTGGCCGCAACCTTTTCAGGTCTACCCACTTGGGACCTTCTTGTTGGACCCTTTGACCACTATTTTTCAACTTCAGAAGTTGCTGTCAATGCGGCTGGTCGCTCGATTGTTCGGATCTTGGTGCATGGGAAAACCGTTCATGACGACGTGACAGTTGTCACTGCAAATGCTTTGGGCCCTCTGCGAGCACGGTTCTTTGGACTGCCGGGTGCGGCACCAGGTGCGATCGCCCTCATCAATGAGCAGTTACAGGCTTTGCTAGTTGGCCATGGTCACCCGACGGGTACCGTTAAAGCGCAAGCAAACAGCCTCATCGACAAGTTCGGACACAAACGTTGTCGTCAAATCCTGGAAAGCAAAGCATGCAAAGCAGCATGGCCCACACTCAAACATGAGGCATCTGCTGCGGGCATTGTGCTGATCCCGTCTGATAGCAGGTCCTCAAAGGAAATTAAACGGGATCTGGTTTTTGATGAGGATCCGTGGGCGAGGTACAATTCTCCCGGAGGGAATAAGGAGAAGACCGTCGAGACAAAAAGAAGACCTAGAAAGCAGGGTCAAGCTGCACGCGTCGATCTCTCGTTTTTTCACGCAGGTCAACAATCTCTTCCACAAGTCGACTTTGCTCAACTCTTTCAAGGTTGGTCAGGTGTGCATGTGGTCCGATTTGAAGATTTTGCCGATCTTGACACTGTCACCAACGCAAATCTGTGCGCTTGCGCGTCAGCTGTGCTGGTTGTTGGTGCTGCTGGAGAAAGTATTTCGGAACGTTTCCCTGACAAGGCTGAATCCATGTTAGTCCCTGGATGGCTTCAAAACCACCCTGTTGCATTAAGGTGCACTCTGATTCAAACAGGTGATGAAAAGGTCGAGACTCGATCAACTTCGGTCTTGACATTCCAAGAGGCAGTCTCCACCCAAGCTGTTGTCCAGGTGTATGTACACAAAAACGAGGCTTCTGAGAAATGGGCGGTGCTTGCCAATGAAGGCATCAGTACATATCTCAAGCAGCTCGGGTTTACCTTGGACGCTATCACCCAAACATGGAGCCAGGCTTTCTTCCGAAGAGGCAAGAAGGTCCCGGCAGCCGAGTCGGAGTATTTTCGTGGTTTCATCAAAATTGAAAAAGGGAAGCTCGATGCTCTCCTTAAGCTCGGAGGCATGGCCGGTTTTTACCCTGCCCCGCGTAGCCCTGAAAAAGGTCCGGATCCCCGCTTCCGTTCGATTCTGTTGAGAGGTCACACACTCCAAGAGGCTCGATCTGTTCAGGCTTCCCTCCCAAATTCAATTGGTTTGACCAGGTCAAAGCATGGCATTGGTGTTCGTGTGTTGGCAACCGAATACAAGGCTCTCAAGAAAAAAGTCTTCCCACAGGCTGCAGAGTCAAGTGAGTCAGATGAAGGAGGAGCTAGGCGCTTTCAGCTGCTTGGAGTTCCTGACGATTGCACCCGTTCCACACTGAAGCAAGCGTCGAAGGCACTACAATGGCCTGTCAAAGTCTTAAGATCAGCTGGCATTCGGGCGTGGACTGTCACAAGTTCCTCCCCTCCCCCAACGCGTTCGTTCCCACTGCGCCAGGCTGTCGTCCTCGTGCTTGAACAGGAGTACAGGAACACACATGATGTTGTCGCTACTACTGCACGGAAACTGCAGACGAACCTTCCAAAGATTGTCCCTTCAGTACCCCAGCCAAGTTCATCTTCACAGAGTGCTGGCCCTGCAAAGTTTGAACAGCTTGAGTCCAGGGTCGCTGAACTTGCTGAACAAGTTGTCAAAACACAGACAGATACTGCAGCTTCAATTGCTGAGGTCCAAACAGTTGTTCAGGCGATCGATGAAAAGGTGAATTCCCAGGAAATCAAAATGGACACCAAGATCGAGACCATGTTCAACAAACTGTTGCAGAACCAACAGTCGTGCTTTGGACAATTGGAGAAAACGAATGCCAAAGTGATCTCAGAGCTGAGAACCGAATACGTGGCTGGATATTCCGAACTCAAGGATATCTTGAGCAATTCGCCGAAAGCTCGGCGTCTTGCCGAGGTATCACCATAGGTCAAGCTCAAGTTCGCAACAGCCAACCCTACCCAACTTTTGGGTAAGGGTGACTTGGCGCGCGAGTGGGAGTGCCAGGTTGTTGCGTTCAGTGAAACTTCCCACACCAAAAGGGCACTTCCGGCCCTTTTCTCTGAGTTCAGGGGCTTTGGTTTTCACCTTTCTTGTTCTTGTTCCGACCCCGTTGCTGATAAATTTCAGGTCTTTTCCCTTGGTTCCTTCCGTGGGCTTAGCAAAGGTGTTTGTTTGGCAAGTCTTTTCCCTGTTTTTACCCCGCGGCCTTCTTTTGTTCCAAAGCAGGCATGGAGTTCCCAGCGGCTCTTGTACTCTGTTGTACAGATCCATCAGGTCCCTATCCATGTTCTCACTGTTTATCTGCTCCCGAACGCGGTGGTTGGCAGTCACAAATATTTCCTAAATTGCGAAATTGTCAACTGGGCCCTGCAAATCACTGAGGCCCTTCAAGGCCCGGTGGTGATCACAGGTGATATGAATATCAGTTGGAGGTCTTTTGATCAGCTCAAGGACTTGACCTCCAAAGGTTGGTCTGATCTTCATGAGTTGGCGCATCACAAGTTTCGCACCCCTCTGAGTCCCACCTGCAAACATGCCACCAGGCACACTTTTCAGTTTGGCAACCAGGACTTTTCAAGGTTTCTGACCGGCATGGGAGTCACCCATACTGATGATTTGGACAGCCACGCGGGTTTGGTAGGCAATTATGATTTCCCTTCCTGTAACCCACCCATCTGGAAATGGTTGCTGCCCAGGGCCTTCGACGATCTGGAAGTTGACCATCAGAAGGTTGAGTCTGCTTCTGTACCAATTGAACTCCAACATGCGGTGGAGCAGGCCCTTCAAATGGACGATCTGACTTCAGCATTTGGTCAATGGTCCAAACATGCCGAAGAATCCCTGCGTCAAGCAACCATGGTGGAAGGTTCACACCCCGGTCGTCGTTATTTGGGTCGAGCATGCCAACCCGTCCTTGTCAAACGATGCCTGGCCGCCCCCCGGTTCAAACAAGGCCGTCCAACGGATTTTAGAGTGCAAGAACCTTCAGTTGCACTGAAAGTGAGGCAAACACAAAAACAAGGGCGTCGGCTTCAGAGATTGATGCGTAAGGCCACTGGTCCTTGTCCTCGCCCCATCATAGAAGAGGCCCACCAGGTCTGGGACGCCATTGTTCATGCCACCGGTTTCGGCAAATCTTGTCCCCACTGGGTCGTCACTCAGGCACAACTCACTTGGCAGGATGGATTTCCCATCCATCTCGCAGGTTTTGCGCCTCAAAGAGGCCGTGATGGCATACTCGAACAGGTGTTGTTCTCACGCCTGGCAAAGGAAAAAGCTCTTGTTCAACGAACAAGGTAAAGGTCATGGTCCGCCGAGGGAGGTTCTCTGCCGTTTCGTTTGTTGAAAGACACGCATAAACTTCCGGTCAATGACATGACAATTCAGCTGCCGTTGCGCCTTGCCCCTCAGCGCTGGAGCCCGGTTGGTAAGGCTTGGATTCAGGTCCTCAATCCGCAAGACTTTCCACTAGGCTGTGTACTTTACGGCGACTCTGCTGAAGTCAAAATCATTGATAAACAAGCTGATTCCCTGCAGTTTGATAGGCTCCTCTCACATAAAGAAGCCTCTTCACTCTTCAGGTCCTTCGTTTCTGCTGAACCTGAGGTTTGGACTGACCACTTCCTTTCCCAATGGAGTACATACTGGAACCGACCGACAGTCGAGGATGACGCCATTCAGGAAGTTATGCAGGCCATGCCTAATTTTCCTCAGATGGTTTTTCCGCCGTTGCAACTACAGGACTGGAAACGTGCACTGCGATCCGCACGCAAACGTACTATGCGAGGGGCTGATGGTTGGTCAGTTCAGGAATTGCTCTGGCTCTCTGACGAATTCACCAGCCTACTGCTTCGCATTTTCCAGCGAGCCGAGCAATTGGCTTGCTGGCCGGAACAGCTTTCCACTTGGGGGTGTTGCTCAGGAAAGCGGACGATGCATGCCCTGGTTGGTCTTTGATTCGGCCCATCACCATTGCAGGTATCTCTTACAGGATCTGGAGCAGGGTCAGAACCGCCCAATTTATGCGGCATGCTAAGGAAATTTCCAAACCACTGGTCTCACCCAGGCTGAGCACCAGGGCAATTTGGACCTTTTTAAGTGACTTGATCTCACGCAAGGTTGCTGCTCAAGGTTACTTGTGTTGGACATTACCAAATGTTTCAGCTGAGAGCCCTGATGATTCAC